AGAAGAGTTTGCTGGGGTCCCAGCAGAAAGCAGAATCTTGGAGAAGCTGGAGCTGAAGGAATTGCCTTTAGGACAGAGAGAGTGAAAGGACACTTGAAGCAGCTTCCAGCAGGGCATCTAGGAAGTGAGGTGTGCAGCAGGCAGCCCGGCTGGAAGAGGGATGGATCTGAGGCCTGGGGCGTGCACAGTGAAACGGTGGCTGATGAGAGAGAATCCTCCAGACAGGCACTGGAAACATTGGAGTTGGAGTTCTGACTTCAACACTGAGGAGCTTTCTGCTGTCTGGGGGGGTCCCCTGGGCTGGCATATGCCCTCCTCGGCACATGCCCTCCTCTGCACTGCCCGCACCATGGCACACTAGCCCCACACACTGCTCTTTCTGTTTCCACAACGGGGTCTGTCTAGACTGGCTACCCACAGGGTGCTCAGGAAGTAAGCAAGATGGCCAGGAAGGGTGGCTGGTGACCAGGAAGGACAGAGAAAAAGTACCCACAATGTTCACACCTCTGAGAACTCCAGGGATGCAACAGCATGGGCTCCTCCTTTACTTAGTCCCTCCTCTGTGTCACTGTCCCCAGCGGCCTCCAGGGCTGACAGGACCAACTGTCTGCTGAGGGTTCCGGCACTGCTGTGGGTGGGTGCTACAGACGGGTGGAGACTCCTTCTGTGCCCAAAGGTCTATGAAGTGTCTGTTTATCCGCTGATGAACGGATAAAGGAAATGTGATCTATCCCATGGAATATCACTAAAGGGGAACACTGCCACTTTCAAAAACACAGATGAACACCAAGGGGTATTATGCTAAATGAAATATACCAGAGACAGAAAATTCTGCATGATTGTGAACTCACCAGTATGTGGAATATTAAAAAAAAAAATCAAATTCATAGAAACAGAATAGAACAGTGTTTATCAGGAGCTAGGAGGTAGGGAATTGGAAAGCCGTGGGTCAGAAGGCACAAACTTGTTAGGTAGGATAAACAAGACTGAGGGTCTTCTGTACAGTCGAGGGGCGGGGCGGGGGGGGGTGTTGCTACAGTTAGAAGTGCTAAGCTGTGTCCTTAAAATTTGCCAAAAGCAGATTTCAGCTCTCCCCTCAGATGAAAAGGGAGCTATGGGGAGATGGAGGTGTTCCCGGCTTAGCTTTAGGAATCATCAGAATCATCTCACTATGTGGATATGTATCAATGTACCATGTTACACACCCATATGTATGAAACATCTGGAGGAAAAAAAGTTGCACCACGCACCAAGGTGCTCCTACTCTGTAGGCTTTCTAAACAAGTCCCCAAGGGTCACCCTAGGGTTGGAAAATTACCAGACCGGGTCTCAAGGGCTAGAACACCTCACAAAAGAAGCCCTACATCAACGTGTGTAAGTGGCTATGAGCAGAGTGTCCCCCCACCTTGGCCCGAAGAGCGAATGACTGTTGAAATCAGTACATAAAACCCCAGGCAAACGGACTCATGATGTGCTTAAGAATGGCTTCCACCCACAGTCAAGCAGTCAGTGTGGTGAAGTTGACTACATCTGTGTTCAAACCCTGGCTCTACTCCTGATGGTGCCCTGTGCTTCGGGGCATCGGGCAGCTGGCATAACTCCTTCCTGAGAAGAATCACTAATGCCAGGGTTGTCAGGATGATCAGAAGCTCTGCAAGATGCACTGCCCAACAGCTTCTGAAGAAATGACGGTAATTAGTGTCACTGTGTCAGACTCACTGGGGTTCTGCGCATACATTCTCAGGATGGGCACTGCCCCGGCTCCATGCCTGGCTCCTTACACAGCGAGGAATCCCAAGCAGAGCAGCACCAAACACGGAGAGCCTGGAGCCTCTGGTCACCATGTTTCTTCAGAGACCAAATAAACACTAACGGCTGCGGAAGCTTGTGTCTTCTCCTAATCGGCACTCGATAAAGACGTGTGCGCCACGCCCCCCCCCCCCCCCCCCCCCACACACACACGGAAAAGTTTATCTGCACACCTTGCTGTGTTCTAATGACTGCACCTGGAAATACCATTAGCTTCCCTGTAAAGGAAACCCCCATGGGGACAGTATGGGGTGCAGGGTGTTTCTTCTGACTTGGAAGCATCAAAAGTATTATTAATTATAAACTTGCTGGGCTGGGGAGATGGCTTAGTTGGTAAAGAGTTTGCCATGCGCCGGGCGGTGGTGGCGCACGCCTTTAATCCCAGTACTCGGGAGGCAGAGCCAGGCGGATCTCTGTGAGTTCGAGGCCAGCCTGGGCTACCAAGTGAGTTCCAGGAAAGGCGCAAAGCTACACAGAGAAACCCTGTCTCGAAAAACCAAAAAAGAGTTTGCCATGCAAGTCTGAAAACTTGGATTTGGCCCCCAGAATCCACTTTTTTTTTTTTTTTTTTTAAAAGCCAGGTGTGCTGTGCACACTTGTAATCCCAGCTCTGCACACTTGTAATCCCAGCTCTGCACACTTGCAATCCCAGCTCTGCACACTTGCAATCCCAGCTCTGGGACTGGTGGAGATGGGTGGATCCCTGGGGCTCACGGGGGATCAGCTCAGCCCAATTGTCATGTTGTAGGCCAGTGAGACACCCTAGCTCAAAAACAGGGTAGAGAGCATCCATCCTGAAAATGACACCTCAGGTTGACCTCTGCCCCACCCCTATGCATGAACATACATCAGAAAACTCATAAATGTGAAACTGATTTCCAAGTCCTAATATTGAGCTCAAGGGACTTCTGCCCTCAGCCAACACTGCCTCACCACGAGGCTCTCTGAGTTCTGCTGTGCCTCTTCCCCACAGCGTCCCCAGGAGGCAGACAGACTGACAGACACCCTTGCCCACATAGCAGCCTCAGGCACAGGACAAACAGCCTGCTCCCAATGCAGTGTGTCGAGCATCTGGGAGGATCCATGAGTTCCTAGACACACCATGAGTTGGTACGCCACAGCTTCACCTCAACCCTCCTTCAGCTCAGCTGGACTCAGATCCCCTCAGCTACTGGCTCTCAGCAAAAGCCGTGGGTGGCAGGAACAAAGGCTCCTCTGCAACTTTAGTTTTTAAAGCATTTCTTTTGACTTTAGAGAAAATCAACAGCAGTTACTGCTTTCGGAGGATTGCAGCCTGCGTATCGGGGTGTGACAGGAAGAATCCAATCGAGGCTCTGCTGAGGCTCACTTGGGAACGGATCTTAATTTCTGTCTCTTAGGTGTTATCACTCGGCTTCTTATTTGCGGACAGTGGGTATGTCTCCTTGCAGAACATAAGGGAAATTCCTACCTGCCAAATGGTAGCAGAGTAGCTTTCTATCAGTCACTCATAGAACTCAACAGTTGTGGGCTAGGTGTGGCAGAGGATAGGAGACCAGAGGCAGAGGGCAGAGACCCACAGCATGCTCTGTGCTGGATGCCAGTGGCTGGAGCTGGGGCTGAAAAGGCAAGCTGAAGGCCTGCCATCAGACCTCAGTTTCCCAAGTGAGGTCCACTTCTCTCCCCATCCTGCCTCGTGGACAGTTCCCGGGCAGTTCTTTTCCCTGCTGCCAAGGTCTGTTCCCCCACTGTGCACCTGTGGCTCTCTCCCCTCCTTGAATGGAGTATAGCAAAAACACCCACAGCCTTCCTGGGGCCCTTTGTGCATTCTGCATGACTATACACATGCTTCTCCACTTAGCATGGGGTTAAGTCCTGATAACCCATCACAAGCAGGAGGAAATCCCATTTACTACAGCGAATGCTTTCCTATGCATTGCTGGGGTCGATTTGCTAATATTTTGCTGCAGATTTCACATAGCATGCCTGTCTGGTTTGGGTGTTAGGATCATGCTGGCTACACAGAATGGGTTAGGCACTATTCCCTCTGCCTCTTTCCCCTTCTGTTTCCTATCTGTCAAGCAAGGGAAATGGTACACACTCAACTAGAGTTTTTGTGAGGACTGCATGGGCTAGAGGCTCTGAGCAAGGAGCTCCTTAGCAAGAGGTTTATACCGGTGGCTTGTTATCACAGTTAGGATCGAGGACCCTCCCGCCACCCCCCCCTACCCCTCACCCTACCCTGCCTGGTTAAAGGTGAAGCTGCTGGAAGAGTTTGGGGACAAGAAGGAACTCTGCCGACTGTGTGGGATTCCTCCACCTCTGCTGCCTCTCTGCTTCACCAGGGATGCCAGCAATGACGGGTCCCTTCCCCAAACACTGGCCAAAGCAAGTTCCAATGAAGGGGTGAACTGTCCTCCCCCACCAACCCATGCTGCATGCTCCCCACAAAGGGCACACACACCCCAGGGATGCTTGCCATTGGCTTCATCCTGGCACACACTGGCTCTGTGGTCATTCCTATAGGAAGCATGAAGACCCTTCCCTGGGGAGACAGCTGCCTCACTCTTAGGAGGCTGACCCAGCTCATAAACATAAAAGGTTTGAGGAAGTAGGACAGGGCTTCCTGGCAGTCCTGCTTAGCTGCTGGGAGGTAAAAGGCCCTACTCCCTGTGACACATCTGGCCTTGCTATACCAGCACCTTCTCTTACCAAAATCAATGTTATGGTTTGAGTCTCATGTGTCCCCTACAGGCTCATGTTCTGAACACTCAATCCCCAGCATGGGGTACTATTTTGAAATGTGTGGAGCCTCTGGATGATGGGGTTGGCTGGTGGAATCTGGTCACTAGGGAGACCTTTGGAGGTAATAGCTGCCCCTGGTTCAGGTCTGTGCTCTGGTTTCTGGTCCATCACAATCTGAATAGCCACTACCTCCTGCCCCCATCATGCCTTCCCTGACACAATGGACTGAAACTTCTATGAAGCTAGAAGCCAAAATAAACCAACCCTTCCTCCACTAAAGTGCTTTTATCTGGTGCTTTGGTCACAGTGATGCATCAGAAACTAACACTATACCACCACCATCACCACCACCACCACCACCACCTCCTCCTCCTCCTCTTCCTCCTCCTCCACCTCCCCCTCCACCTCCACCTCCACCACCACCTCTACCTCCACCACCACCACCATCACCACCACCACCACCCCATCTCTCCTCTGATTTCTTCCCATGGATGATCTTCAGCTTCTTTCAGAGTGTACATGGCTGTGAGGGTCTCCTCAAGACCAGGCAGCAAATGCCACAGTCAGCAACACTATGGAGGTATTTTAGAAGCAGAAGCCCACGCTGTCCCCACCATCCCTACATGGCCCAAACATTTCATTTGGTTCCAGGCAAAGGAACCTGAATCACTTCTCCCTCTCCTGTGTACACCAGGCCTACCCCCCATCATCTGATCTCAGGGGAGGTGAACTATTACTTCAAGCAAAATGAAGTGAGAGAGAAAGCCAGTGCATATTCTAAGCACAGGTTTTCCGGAGTTAGCACTGGGGTACCTGCCCTCTTAGGCAGAGAGATGTGCATAGCCTGCTCTAGGCTTGCTGGACTCTTCCTTTCTTATCTAATCTGTTCACTATATTATTTTATTTGTTTTAAATGTCATTTATTCCCCCCCCCCAAGAAAAAAACAACTGAAATGGAATTACATACTGTCTTCAGATGGTAAATACGTAAGTCAATGGCAATTTCTTTGGCTGAGAAAGCCTTCTGCCTGTCTGCTCAAAGGAACTTTAGTACTGCGTATTCACATACTTGAAGAGCCAGGATGGAGTGCTAGCCTGCATAACCCCCTAGGGAATTTAGCAGGCATGACTGATAGGAATCAGAAGTTCTTTTGTGTGCAGTAAGATCTCAAATGTATGCCGGAACTGGGGGTGTACTCTCAAAGACAGGGAAAAATGGTTAGGAGACTAAAGGCCAAGCATGATGCTTCTTCTGTAATAGAAATGGGATGTGTACACATGGGATTAGGGGACGCTGAGGATTCTCCAGAAAAGAAGAGGCAGAACGTTCATGGAGGCAAGTGTGGTGGTTTGATAAAAAATGACCCTCATAAACTCAAGTTTGAATACTTAGTCATCAGAGTGGTCCTACTAGGGAGGGATTAGGAGATGTGGGTTTATTGGAGTAGATGTGGAGGAAGTTTGTCACTGGGGGTGGGCTTTGAGGTTTCAAATGCTCAAGCCAGGCCCAGTGTCTCCCTCTTCCTGCTGCCTGTGGATCTGCATATAGAACTCCCATCCAGAGTCTCCGTGCTCCCCACCATGATGAAAATGGACTAAACCTCTGAAACTGTAAGCCAGCTCCAATTAAATGTTTTCCTTTATAAGTGTTGCCATGGTCATGGTGTCTCTCCACAGCAATAGACCACTGATCAAGACAGCAAATGTGACTGGTTAAAGGGCCCAGTGTGAGTGAGGAATGAGGGAAATGGGAAAAGGACCAGGAAGAGAGGGAAGCTGTGGGTGAAGCAGTCTCTACCAGGAGAGGGTAGATCATATGGGGGCATCACTGAGGTCTCAGTTCCTTCATGTGGATAATGCAGGACATTCCACTGGAGTTTGGTCCCACCCTGACACTAAAGATTGGATTCCACTACTGCGAACTTGGGGGCTACAATCTTCTGGATGTCTGGGGATACAGCTTAGATGTATAGCCCTTGTCTAGCATGCAGAAGACCCTAAGTTTGATCCCCTGAACTACAAGAAAAAGAAGGAGGAGAAGAAGGAATAAGATGGAAGGAGGAGGAAGAAGAAGAGGAGCAGGAAGAAGAGGAAGAGGAGGGAGAGGAAGAAGAAGAAATAATTCACCAAGTCTCCCCAGAGGTTCAGTAATATTTCTTGATGGTGTACAGTCAGTAGCTGCTCTGTTCTCCTTCCTCGCCTAAAGGAACCATGGGTTTCCTGTCAGGAATGGAAGGAATTACCCATGAGAAAAGCAGCAATGGACTGATCTCAGTTGCACCTGATCATGAGTTCTCTCCTGGGACCACTGGGAGGCAGTGGAGAGAGTCCAGCAGTACCAGGGATGCCAAGGATCTGCTTACATCAGCTATTCAGGGAGATGGCCTTTAGGCTGAAATCCAGAACAGCTCTGTTCCTGGTGAGGTCTCAGATTGGAACCCAAACAGCAGCTGTTTGCTAAGAGTCCACAACAAAATGAATAGAAAAATTGATTTGACTTTGTTGCAGCATCCATGGGCGGTTTCAACTTGTCTTTATTTAAATGTAATCTAACTACAGTTGAATCTAACAGCTAAAGATGGGACCTGTGTTACAGCTTCATCTTCCCACTTTCCTTCAAGAATCCACGTCCACTACAGATTGTTAGTAAGAGTCTGCAACATACTGGAAAACAATTGGTAAAACACACAATTCTTTCCTTATAGAGATGAATACTGGTCTCATCACAAAGGCATCTGTATTAGTTACTTGTCTGTTGCTGTGATAAAACACCATGACTGAGGGGACTCATGGAAAGAAGGGTTCATCTGGGCTTCTGGTTCTAGAGGGATAAGGGTCCACCTTGGTGGGGAGGCATGGTAGCAAGTGGTAGGCATGGCGGCTGGAGCAGGGAGTGGAGAGCTCATATCCTCAATGGCAAGCACAAAGCAGAGCAGAGCAAGCTGGATATGGGCAAGACAATAAACACCAAAGCCCACCCACAGCGACACACTTCCAGCAAGGCCCGTATCCTCAGCCTCCCCAAAACAGCGCCACCAACTGGAGACCAAGTGTTCTGATACCTGAGCCTATGGGGGACATTCTCATTCCAACCACCACAGTACCACCACTTCATAAGGCAAAAAGACCAGGAAGAGCTCAGGCAAGGGAGTGCTGGGGAAGAGAATGTGCTGGGCAGAGGGGGTGGCACTCTGAAGGTAATTCAGAGTCACTGAACAGGAGCCTGGATGGTGCCATGTGGGACAGGAGGGCCACACAGCAACCAGTCAAGGACAGAGTTGGGACCGTGCACAGGAGGTCTACAGTCTCACGTTAAGAGGTTGGGATTCTGTCAGAAATGTGATGGGATGCTGTGAAGAGCAAGGCTTGGCACAGTCTTAAAGCCAGGTCCGGCTTCTGTGTGTATGGCTGGCAGCTGGGGTATAACACAGACCTGCAGAGTTATGAGGACATGGTTGACATGACCATTCCAGTTATTTTTCTACAATAGGTTTTTGATAGACGGATTTGGGTGCCCCTGGGAGAAGAGCCAAGGACGATGGCCAGATTTTGGATCTGAGTTGAGGGGTACCAAGTTCAGCTGTGTTCTTCTTAGGTTGGAGCTGCCACTGAGAGTCAGTCGGGCATCCGGAGAAAGGCCTGGGTTAAATTTAGAGCTCAGCAGTCATGAGCAGAAAGACAATTTCTGGCCATGGGACCGCATGAACTCACGTAGGAGAAAGTAGAGAAAGGGTCCCAAGTCCAAATGCAGAGACACCGGGGAGAACAAAGAGGCAGGCAGAGGGTGCTAGATTGCTTCACAGATGCTGAGAGGGAGAGTGACAAGGAAGAGTGAGCGCTCCCCAGGGAACTGAGGACCACAGGAGGGAGGCGTGACCATGGGTTTGGCTACTGGTGACCTTGAGACTTGGTGGTTGAAACAAATCCATCTGGAGACAGTGCAGTGAACGGGGCGTGAGAAGAAGTCTGCTGCGGGGAGGCAGTGGATGGGGCGGCTGGAGGGTCAAAGAGGACCCCAGAGTTCTGGACCTTGTTCATGGGTGGTGTATGGTGGTGGGAGTGGTCCAGAATTGTGGACAAGACTTGTCACACAGGTAGAGGGGCTGAAGGAGGGCACCCATGTAGAAGATGTGAGGGGATGGATCACACATGAGCAGGGAGGCTTGTTTTCAAGGAGGAGCCAGATCTGGGCACAGGCCTGAGTAGCTCCAAGGCCAGGGCAGTAGAGACAGGCAGACTGTGCTCTAAAGACACCTATTTTCTGAGTAAACTATGAGGAGGCCATCGTTTAGCACCTGAGAATTATGTATTATTTATCATAGTCCTTAGTCCATCTATATATTTCAATCCATGCAAAAGAGGAAAATGAACCTTCAAAACAGCCTCGGCTCCTCATAAATGTTCACACAAACAGAAGGGGTCTAAGTGCAGACCATTATAACCTATGCTCTCCAATGTTTCAAAATTCTTCCAAGTCATGAGCCTCACAGCTTTCACTGATCATTCCTCCTCACGTATCCCAAAGGCTCACACAGTCCACAGAGGTTTCTCATGTAGGAAAGGGCTGACCCCTTAGATTATGCATCCACCTCTACCCCACACGGTTAGCGGCAGAGGCTGCTTGCTGCTTACCACAAGCCACACTGCTCTTTTATCTCTGAGTTCTCTTCCAGCCTGTGTTGTCCAGGGCCCCATGTCTGTCTAGGTTCAAGTCAACGGACTGTGACTAGATGTAACACACAGCAACCAGTACCATGAGTCCAGGCTAGACCCATGAGACTCTTCCATATTAGCTAGAAGGGAAATGATTTCCCAGAGCCCGTGGATGCCTGATGATGAGAAGATGTACTAACTGACCAACGCTCACACTACACTGCACCATGAACATGAACTTCTGTCTTGTTTACGCCCCAGTCTGCCCCTTGAGAACGTCTGCACAGTCCCAGCCTTCCTTGCACTTGGCCTAAGGAGTAAGGAATGGGCACAGGTCTGCTCCGTGAAGCAGCACAGTGGGCACTCTTGATGTGTCCCATACTGTTGTCATAGCCAGTATGCGCCCTCATTGCCACATTAAAGCTGCATTTGAACGATGTCTTTTTAAAAGATTGTTTATTTTGTATACACGAGTGTTTTGCCTGCGTGTATGTATGTCTGCATGATGGTGTCCAATCCTTTAGAACTGGAGTTACAGAGAGCTATGAGCTGCCGTGTGGGTGCTGGGAATTGAACCAGGGTCCTCTGGAAGAGCAGCCAGTATTCTTAACCACTAAGCCATCTCTCCAGCCCCGTAAACAGTGTCTTAATGTTTTAAGCCAGTGGTTCCTCAGCCCCAACTGCATACAAGAATCACTTGAAGAACTCTGCCTAATTGGTCGGGGCTGGATTGTGGCTTTAGCTAGCTCTCATGAGTAATGGTAATTCTAATGGGCAATTTTTGGGTAATTCTAATGGGCAATCCAAGTTAAGATGCCCCACTCTGTGTGGTTGTGATAGACAGCTGAGGCAAACCAACCTCCTTCCACTTACCAACTGCTGGATGCAGGCTCAGCACATTCATGCTGGATGCAGGCTTAGCACATTCATGCTGGATGCAGGCTCAGCATATCCATGCTGGATGCAGGCTCAGCCCATTCATGTTGGATGCAGGCTCAGCACACTCATGCTGCAGAGCTAGTGTGTGAACTACAGTGCCTTGATATCTGGTCTGGTCACCTTTACCAAATTCTTACTATTGGAACTGGAGTCCACAGACTACCAGCACTGGATGAGCTAGGAGCACATTAGAAGTGCAGGCTCTAGCCACACCCTAACCCACTGAATCAGAAGCCTTGCGTTAGAGAAATGCCCTGGCAAGTCACTCACAATGAAGTCTGGGAAGCTAAGGAAACTTTGAAGATAAGCCTAGAAGCGAGAAGTAAAGAAGCTGGTACTTAATGCCACAATCTGGCCTTTAAGAGCAAGGCATGGTGGGAGAAGATCCATGACTGCGTGTTGACATCGCCTCCAGGCAGCCTACCGTACCATCTATAAAGTTCTACAAGGGGCTATGGTTTCAGGCAGATATGTACAGAATCCCTCAGCCTCTGCCCCTCACAAGATCTGCAGGCCTCTAGACGTCAAAACTGCCATTGTGGCAGCTGTCCACAGTCCGACCCAAGTTTAGGTAATGAATCCAAGAAGTTGGATGGACCCCCGCATGCCAAAGTCATAGTTGTTTCCAAGGTGACATCTGAAACTTTGCTCTTAGCTCAGGGAAAATCAATAAACGTTATACAGCACATTACATTTTCCACTTTTGTTGTAACAACACAGAAAGCCAATAAATGTGTCCACCCAAGGAAGCAAACCATCATGCGGCCGGGCTCTGCCTGTTTCCAGGTGTTCACCTGCTCTGAGATACGCTGAAAGACGCAGTTCAAGATCAATATTACCCAGCAGCCCCAAGGGGGGGGCTGTGATCTGCTCTCTAGCTCAGAGTCACTGCCATGGGGTGTCCCTGAGGAAATACTGAATGCATCTGATGACAACCGTTAGACTTCAGTGTAAGAACAAAAATGAGGCTTCACAGAAGCAATGTGCTATGCATCTGATGTCACAGTCATGCAGAAGCCATGGAAGGGTGCACAGGTGGGGTGAGGCAGCTGTTGGGAACCTGCAATTTCCTGACAGTCTTTGCAGCAGGGAAAGATGGGCTGAAATCAAAAGGTGACATGCGTTTCTGTGCTCCAAAGATCCAACTATTCCCTGAAATGGCAGGAGCCTCAGTTAAACTGAGAGTGGTCTTAGCCAGGTGAGACTACATCTGTGTGTTGGAATGTTCTGATGTCTGGGTACCCTTTTCCACACATAATCTGCTCCAGTTGGAATTCCCGATGTCCATCAAGGCTTCTTTGTTTCTTTAAGAGAGAAATCAGGGGCTCAGGATGAAAGGGAGGAGTGTGCTCCACAAGGTAGACAAGAAAGCTCACACGTAATAGAAAGTTTGTCGCTTGTCTTTTCTGCCTCTCTCTGCAGCCCACAAGAGCCTGTACCACCAGAGACCATGTGAGATTCAAGGTTGCTAGGATATCCTGGTGATTCCCAAACTCTCCCTCCACAGGCTAGACCAAGGTGGCACATAGATAAATCAGTGTGGATTTTCTGAATCTCAAAATTTTTGTTTGTTTGTTTTTGAGACAGACTCTCACTGTGTAGCCCAGGCTTCCCCTAACTCTTCCTCTCCTCTCCTTTCCCCTCTCCTCCCCTCCTCTCCCCTTTCTTCTCCCCTCCCCTCCTCTCCTCTCCTCTCCTCTCCTCTCTGCATTTCCCTTAATTATAACAGAAATTTCGATTAAAATCAGAACAGTGAACATTTTAATGACAAGTCTGTAGACCAGATTCTAATAGTTACAGTGCCCCTCATCAGTTACTTCACATTAAGTAAAATTTCTTAAATAAAAAAAAAAAGAAAGAAAAGGAAAACAGAAACAGTGCTGTACTTGAAGGGAGCACAAGATTAAGTATTACAACTTTATAACCAAATTATATCTAGCACCTTTAAAATGACACTAATAGCCCCGTGTAACTGTGAATGCACTGATGGCCGAAATATAGCCCACAAGTACGGTGTGATTTACAGCTGCATGTCAACACCTCCCCTGGGCACAGTAGCCTGCACAGTGGACATGTGTTTGGTTCAGGCTTCTACACTCAGGGCTGAAAAGAGATCTGGCTGAGTCCCTTAGGTTCCCAATCTGAAAAGATCCCACTGAGGCCATAGGTGAGAGAGACATTAGTATATTTGAGTTGGACAGAGTTCTTCTGACAGACAAACTAGTACCCTTTTCAGTCCAATCCAGAGCCTTCCGGGCCAGGGGAACACATGATTACAGGCTTAGGAAGCCACCCGGACTTGACTGCAGCTGTTCAAGTATCACAGCAGAGGCAGGTGAGGCATGGCAGCCTAAGTTCCCCACAGTGGACACTGGCTTTGCAACCAAGGGGATCTAGGCAACTCAGGACAGTGAAAACATGGTTTTCATTTTATTTCTACGTTCGCTTATTTGTGTGTGGAGGTCAGAGAGCAGCCTGTGAGAGTCAGTCCTTTCCTTCACCCATGTGAGTTCCAGGAACTAAACTCAGGCCATCCGTCTTGGTAGAGCACCCTCACCTGTTGGGGCGCCTTCCTGCGCTGCTCATCGCTCTTAACCCACAGTGACAGCAGGGCCGAGCAGGGATGTCTGCGTGTTAGGCCTTCCTCTTACCACTCTTTCAAGCATTACGGATTAGTCCTCTCCAGTGTGGTTCTTATGGACACCTACAAGGTCACTGTGCTGGCTTTCTTATGAGTGCACCCATCTTTATCACAAACCCTGGAGCCTCAGGTCTTCCTTTTAACAAGTACAGCCAAACAGAAACACCAAGAAGCAGGCTCAGCAGGCAACAAGTGAGGTCAGGAAAACAATCAGATGCTTTTCTAATCCCTCAGCATTTATCAGCTCTCGAGGTCCAAGGTCATTTCCTACCGGGAGATTCCACCTTCTGGTCCCACCTTCTCCGGGGGCCCACATGATCCTCAACTCTTGATTCTCTTGCCTCAGCCCCTCAAGTGGAGACTTGAGGTTTTGTGCCATCATTTCTTCTTTTTTTTTTTTCCTTAAAAATTGGTGCTTTCTTGTTCTGATCTTACAGAAAGTCCCAGCAGGTGAGGAAACAGTCAGCTGATAACAAGGGGCAGGACTTGGTCCCGTGTGAGTGTATAGACACGTGTGCACACACACTTGGGATGGGCTTGTAGGTTATGCATAGGAAATAGCCACATCTCAGTCTACGGACAGTGCTTCTAAGATTCATGTTAGAATTAAGTGTGCCAGGATCCTGCAAGAAAAAGTGCATGCCATCCGGTGAAAAGCACTATAGTTTTACGACATGTGGACAAATCTTGAGAAGCACTGAAGAATGGAAACGACGGAAGTGTGAGAGAGAACAGAGAGAAGAGACACAAAGAAGCCAGAACAAATCACTGTCTAACGAGACTCCAGGAGGCTTTGCTATTGGCACCGTGTGAGTGGCCCTGGCCTCAGGTCTTGGCTCCGATCCTGAGTGGCCAATGGACCTTGGGGATTTTCCTTTCTGTTTTCTGTTCATTTCCTGCACTTTATTTTCACGTCCTTTCCGAGCTTCTGTCAGCTGAAGAACCCGGATGGCGATGCCTACGCCGCAGGGGATTTTATAAGAGTAAGAAGCAACCCTGTAAATGAGCAAGCATGGAGTGTCCGGCCCCAAAGTAGATGCTCAAGAAAAGGAGGCAGATGATGATTTTAGCCACAGTGAGAGCAATCAGAGAAAATTCCAGTGCAAAAGCCACATTCAGTGAACACCTACTATGTGGGAGCCACCTACTATGTAGGCCAATGAGGATTTAGCTCACTACATTCTGACAAGGAGTTTGCAGAGGAGGGCTTCTTATGCCTCTATCATTCTCCATCTTGTAAAGATAGGGTCTCTCACTGAGCTTGGGGTTTGCCATTTTCAGCAAGGCCCCCAGGATCGGCCTGTCTACCTCCCACCTCCCGCCCAGTACTGGATGACAGAGGAATGTGAGCTACTGGCAAGACAATGTCTTCCCCAAACTCTTCCATGTCACAGGAAGCTGGGGGCCATTTAGAGTCAGGGGGATCTTTCTACAAAACCAAACCCCCCATACAGAAGGAGAAAACGAAAGCTGGGCGGGTCGGGCTGCCCGTAACCATAGCACTTGGGTGGCTGAGACAAGGCGCTATGAGGTTCAAGATCAGCCTGGGTTACAGAGTGAGGCCCTGTGCTAGTGAGCTCTGACAGAAACAGCTAAAGAAGAATTTATTTTGGTTAATGGTTTATGCAATGGTTCTCAACCTTCCTAATGCTGGGGCCCTTTAACACAGTTCCTCATGGTGTGGTGACCCCAACCATAAAATTATTTTTGTTGTTACTTCATAATTGCAATTTTGCTCCTGTTACAAATTGTAATGTAAATATCTGTGTTTTCTGGTGGTCTTAGGTGACCCCTGTGAAAGGTTGAGAACCACTGGTTTGGGGGATACAGCCCCCTCTCCCCCCAAGGTACCAAAGGTGTGATGGGAGTGGCTTGCAGCTGTGGCAGTGGCAGGCAGCTGGCTGCATGGCCTCAGCAGTTAGGAAGCAAAGAGCTTACATAGGGAACACACCCAGCCTGCATCCCCCCCACCCCACCCCACCACCTGTACCCTAGGCCCTACATCTGACAGCTGGGCCCCATGTCCAGAGAGTTCAACAAGCCTCCAAGTCAGGGTTTCCAGTTGGGAACCAAGCCTTCACACCCATGGGCCTGCCTATATGAAACATTCCATATTACACTGTAACAGGCCCTGTCTGTAGACAAACCAAGGCTGGGCAGGAGGGAGAGGCCGGCCAGTAAAGCTCTGGCTGCACAAGTTGATACACAGAACCCCCAGAGCTGGGGGGCTGGAGACAGGCGGATGTTTAGGGTGCCCTGCGTAGTCAGCCTTGACGCCTCTGTGATCTCTAGGCTGACAAAAGACACTGTCTCAAAATGCAAGGTGTATGGGGTCTTCCGCCCATATGTCTAGTGCCTCTGGAAGAAGCGGAAGGCGACAGTGGTGGTGGTGGTGGTGGTGGTGGGGTGGTGGTTCTGAAGGGCAGTGGGGAAGGGGCAGGAGCTAGGAAAGAGAAGGAAAAGGAAACAGCCAGGAAGAGTGACCCCAGAGCACTCTGCCAGGCTGGCACGGCCCCACAGTGATGGTGATGGAGGGATTTATTACTTTCTGTGTTGTTCCTGATTGCGAGAGGTTTTATTGCTATGAAATACAAGTCATCCAATGTCCTAGGGAGGAGAGGAGGAAATAAATCCTGCCTAGAGCAGGGCTGGAGAGATCCTAGGGTTTAAGGACAAACACGGAGAATTTCCCACTTGTAGTGGCCATCTATATCCCAAGCATAATGAAGTCGCCCCTCTAGTGAGGGGCTCAAAGCACTGGTCACGCCGATGATTCTCTCTGTGTCTTCCAGGGAGTTGACATTTAAGCCCTGCAAAACAAAGGCTTGCTCATCTGCAGGGAAGAACTGCAGGTTCATGGTGAGAATATATTTTACTGAGGATCCTGAACATGGTAAAGGGAGCATCTACCGCATCTGCCCTACACAGGAACCGCCAGACCAGCGGCCTGCCAGGTGGGAGTGGAGGGATGGGCTGTGGGGAGCAGACTCTGGTCTGGTAGGGGGCGATTTTCCTTTGGAGTCCTCTCCATGGAAGAAGAATCACCTGTGCTGTTCCTCTGACCTCAGTCGAAATTTCTCCCCTAAATGAAGTTTAAAAACAAAACCATTTCATTGTCCAAGTCCAGGAGAGATGGAGGTGGATGGCCACATTTCCAGCAAGACATAAAGGAAAGAAAGGAGACAAGGTAGGCCTGCCAAGAGGCTAAGTCTAGTGAATGGTGGGTCCACGGGAAGAGGAGGAAGGGGAATCTGGGCCCATCTATGAGTTCTAGGAAATGAGCCTAGAAACCAACAGCCACAGAGTCCGAGACCTGGGGTCTACTTGAAAAACTGGAACAAAGTCTTCTTCTGTGTGTGTGTGTGTGTGTGTGTGTGTGTGTGTGTGTGTGTGTGTGTGTGTGTGTTTCAATGTACATAGGCATTTTGCCTGCATGTATGTCTGTGCACCATGAGCATGCCGTGCCTGAGGGGGCCAGAAGAGGGCATCAGATCTCCTGGAAATGGAGGTGAGAGGGTTACGAGCCACTGGGAATGGAACCCAGGCCCTTTGGAGGGCAGTCAACCACTGAGTCATCTCTCCAGCCCCAAAATGTGTATGTTTAGAAGAAAAAGATCAGTGTTTCTAATTCAACATAGGTAGAAAAAGACCAGGGGAAGGGGAGGAGGAGAGGGTGGGAGAGGGGAGGAGAGAGGGTGGGAGAGGGTAGGGGAGGAGGAGGAGAGGGTGGGAAGGGAGGAGGAGAGGGTGGGGGAGGAGGAGACTGTTCTCAGTGTTAGGGCAGAGTTTCTCTGAAGTACAAGCGTCTGACTGAGGAGAGTGGAAGACATCACTGGTAATAACTCATCACAGAAGAAAGAAAATGTTAGGTGCAGCAATTGTGCAGAATGCTGGTGTGGCGTGCAAGCAGCTATCTGCTCGTAATCACTCTGCTGTCATGTAGAGCAGTACATGGAAAAAGCATTAGGATAATTTACTGTTGCTTATGAACAATAAATTAACAGGACTGGCTGTTATTTTGCATTTCCTGCTAATACAATACTCTTGAGGGTCACTGGCAAGGAGGCTGCCAGGCAGACAGTGCCGGCGACAGCCATGTCACTGTGGGGGCACACAGTGACCAAGGGGAGGAACATCACTAGCACTGTGTCCAGACCGGAGCACTGCATCTGCGCTCACAATTGACCTCCGAGTGTTTCAGACAGGACTTCGAGAGCCGATCCCTGACGTGGAGCAAGCCCACGATTTCCTCTCTCCCAGGCCCGGGAAAGGCACACTTGTCTTCAAAGCAAATGGAAATTCTTTTGGTTTTGAGAATAAGATTCCCCCAAGCCCCATCCAGCCTTGACTGGTGTGAGCCAGGCTCCTGACTGAGGTTATAAATCAACCATCGCCTGCACAGCTGAAGGCTGCGAGTCTGAGAAGAGGTCCCAGGATTTTTATGATCCCAGCAAATCATTCCTCCACTCTCAAGAACTCAGGGCACACTTTCCAGGGTTTTATGGCTAAGTGTGGTGGCACAATGTTGTAATCTCAGCACACCAGAGGCAGAGGCAGGAGGATTGCTGCAAGTTTGGGGCCAGCGTCAGGTACAAACCAACTTCTAGACCAACCAGGGTTACACAAAAGGCAAAACAACAAACAAACAAACAAAAATGTAAGGAAACCCGACCAAAACTCTTCTTTCAAAAAATCCCAAGTAGGAACACACTATGTAAAAAAACCAAAAAAAAAAAAAAAAAAAAAACCCAAAACCAACCAAACAAACAAAAAAACCCCAAACAAACAAAAAACAAAACAAAACAAAAAACCATCAAACAGAGCCGGCTGGAAGAGGGACAGCCCAGGACAAGGCTGCAGGGGGCGCTCTTTTGCCAAGTGCCTCTCTGGGTCTCAGAGGTCGGTAATCCCAAACCACCAGACCCCTCTGTCAAGTGTGAAGTGGTGGAGGAGGGGATAGCTTGGGGCCAGCAGATAGAGCCGAGGCCTCCTTCCACTTCCCTCTGTGGAAGTGGATGCCCCACTGCTGTGTCGGGGAAAGAGGAGAGCGCAAAGGCGTCCGCTGCTCTTCCCTTCACTTTCTGCTGATTCAATTTTGTATTGTATCCAGCTGTTGCCGGGATGGCGGGTGAGTCTGCGGGGAGCCTCAAGGGCCAGGAGAGGCTAATGGAGACTGTGCCCCGGCCAGCTGGTCGACTCAGAGGGTGGGAAGCTGAGGGGGAGGGGCTGGGTGACCACTTGGTCACTGCTATTATCGCTACAGCTGAGGAGGGCAAGACTTGAATTCTAATAAGCTGAGCCCCAAGCATTCAATACAACTCTGGTTGGTACTGGAGCTTTATCTGGGGAGGAGAGAGGGAGGAAAGAAAGGAAAGGAACTCCCACAGTGCCCACCACTGTATGCAGGTACGCAGGGCATCTTGGGGACAATCATATGCCATTACCGCCCCACCTCCCCCCACAAACACCTGCAAAGCCTTGCATACTAAAACTCCACACTACAGTGAACAGTGATGGATAAGGAAGATGCCTGTGTGGCAGAACAGGTCACTCAATGGCTAGGTCTAGTCTCTCTAAAAAGACAATGGGAAGTTCAGGGAAAGAGCGCCATCTTGAGGCAGGGCTGATTCTTCCTTGTAGGTGACACCCAACGCCCAAGGGGAGTCACCCAGCCTGTTTCCTTTCTGTAAAAAGACTTAGTACTTGGAACTGCCTCAAGACTAAAGAAAGATGACAAAGGGTGTGCCTGTTTCTCAGATGACCCTCCGCAAGCAGACAGGATGGATAGCTGCTCCTAGTGGAGCGAGGCTGACTGACTGTATGACTGAATTGTTTGGCCTCCCCAAGGGGACACGCATGTCCCAAATCAAAGACACCCCCTCCGCTCCACACACACACCTCTCAGAGGCAGCCCAAGTGAGGCACCCTCCCTGGGCAGAGTGAGCCCTGGTAAAGAACAGTCAGGAAGGGGCCTCTGGGCACTAGAGGGCTACAGGTGAGGTGTCAGGAGGTTTCAGGAGATACGTGTTCTGGAATGTGGTTTTTCTTATGCCTTTCTTCCTGTCCTACTTCAAGTCCAGACAGAGTAGTTTACAGTGAATTCAGCCGAGATCTAATCCGGGGCTTGGGGAAGGACGGGGAGCCCTCTGCAGCTGGTACCACACCTGCTCTGACTGTGACCGGGATGTGAGCACAGAATAAAGGCACCACTGTGTGAGCAGGAGGAAGTACCTCAAACTGACAAGAGATCCAAGGCAGGCTGGGGTGTGAGAATACGCCTGGGGCCAGGGCTGGAAAGAGAGGAACTAGCTTCTAGCAAGGAGTCGCTCAAAGGACAGTGACGTTCAGGGTACTGTTTCCTCCTGCCCAAGAATGCCGGTACAGAAGGGGGAGGTGATGGAGAGGCATAGGCCCTCCCCCAGGGCTAGCAGCTTGGTAGTGTCAGAGCCTAGGGCTGTGTGTGTGGACCTCAATGGGCACAGCACTTCCAGACTTCAAGGTGACAGCCAAGCCAGTTGCAATATTCCCATCCACCTCCACAGAGGAGGTGTTCGAGTGTGGATGGGTAGGGTGGGCAAGAGATGCAGTGATGATGTCTACCGCTTTGTCTCCTGTGATCCCTAATTCAAAATGAGCATCAGGAAGCTAGTGATGGCCGCACAGACCTGTAATCTCAATGCTTCAGGGGTTGAAGTAAGAGGACAGCAAGTTTAAGGCCAGTCTGGGCTATCTGGAGAGACGGTCTTTAAAAACCAGGTGCTGTGGATATAGCTCTGTAGTAGGGCACGTGCCTGGCATGCCCAAGGCCCTGGGTTCAATACCTGGCTCCCCCCGCCCCCCCCCCCGGGCGGGGGCACACTGTCAGATCCATGATGTCCCTGAGGTGACTCTTCTGCCATTTCCTTTGTTCTCAAAGTCCTAGGTGGGATAATCTATAGAGAACTAAGCTGCGCATCTAATCCAAGCCTTTCCTATTTGGACACCAGGAAGGAAAGAGAGATTCCGAGTCTCCCTTGCTTGCCTGGTGAGAGGCAGCAAGACATTGACACACATGAGCCAGAGGACTGGCTTGAATAAGTGAGCTGGTAACAGTGGATTTCATCATGGGCCATGATTGACAGCCACCTTCTTGGAAAGAGGCTGGATTTTCAGTGCTCTCAGTTTTCCACCTACCACGCTTAGGGGTGAGAGTGGGGTGCTGGGTGTGTGAGGTGGGGCAGCCTGTCTCCCAGGAGCTCTCTGCTGCAGGCAAAGAGAGGCCTCTTACCCGAAGGTGCTCAGATTCCTGCCGCCTCTGCTTTGAAGTCCCTAGATGCTTCCTGGTGCAGGTGAATCCCGGAGGGAGAAATCACGACAGGAATCTCTCAGGCTGGTCGCCTCTGGTACATGAATGTGTTTGGACTTGGGAACAAAGGATGCTACCAAATGAGTCCTCCACATTCAAGCTGGCTTTGAGCTTTGATCTCAAATTGGAACCTTTCAAGTTGTTTCACATTTGGCCAAACAGGTTCTTGGGTTTCTTGTTTTCCCTCCTTTTCTTATGAAAGAATGCCGACCTAAAGGACCCTGGGCACTGGTGGCTTCTGAGGAGACCTCACTGCAGCTTGCTCTGTGACTGCATCATCATGGATTACACCTCCTTCTCTCCCGGTGAGCTGGGCCATGAATAGGCATGGGGGATCACTCTGGGCTCATGATTCAGAGGACTAGTCAGCTTTGCTCCTGGCACAAATGCCAGGCATGAGGCCAAGACAGCCTTGACTACCCGGGACATTACTGCTCACATCACAGACCAAGCGTCTAGAGTGGCAGTTCTCAACCTGTGGGTTGTGACCCCCAGGGACCACCAGAAAACACAGATGTTTACACTATGATTCATAACAGCAGCAAAGCTACCTATGAGACAGGAATGAAAATAACTTTATGGTTGGGGATCACACAACATGGGGAGCTGTATTAAAGGGTCACAGCCTTAGGAAGGTGGAGAACCACTGCGCTAGAGCACTCTGCCCCTCTGCTGTGGGAGGCTCTGTACGTTGTGAATGTGTTGCTCTGATTCACTGGTAAATAAAATGCTGACTGGCCAGTAGCCAGGCAGGAAGTATAGTGTAAGCAGGATAAGCAGAGAGGGGAATGCTGGGAAGCAGAAGGCTGAGTCAGGAGACGCAGCCAGCCGCCGCTGCCGCCACCGCCATGAGAAGCAAGATGTAAGGTGCCGGTAAGCCATGAGCCATGTGGCCACTTACAGATTAGTAGAAATGGGTTAATTTAAGACATACGAACTGGATAGCAAGAAGCCTGAGCCATTAGGCCAAACAGTTTAGGAAGGTTAGAACTACTGCTCTAGAGTACTCTGTCCCTCTTGGGGAAGATCAAATGGAAAACATACCAGCCTCTCTGGAGATGACCCATCCAGCAGCAAGTGGCCCACCAGTACAACGCTCTCAACTCTCAGAGAACCAGGAAAGCCTCACTTTGGAAGCCCTTCTGCCTGGCCTCAGAGCAGGCAGCTGGCACCCTAGATAGCGGACAGACAGGGTGGGTATTCTGAGCTCACCTCCACCTGCAGGCGGAGTGGGTCTCACCAGGAGTAGCAAGAGCTCCAGGAACCCCAGAGCAGCAGAGATCTTAAGTAACTAACTTGTCTCTGGGTCTTGTAGAATCCACAGCAGCTAAGCATAAAAACGTTTGCTGGATGAGTACATGAATCTCACTGGCATTTAATTAAAATAGCAAACAGCGCTGGTTTGAGTGTCTTACTTTTCAAAGCCTAATCTCCACAGAATGTGTGGTCTTTTCCAGAGGGAATCACAGCCCCACACTTTATTTTTAGAGATCTACTGAAGGAAGGACTTCCAACAGGAGGTCTAGGTCCTCTAACTCAGCGTTAGGGACTGACTGCCAGTGAGACATGACCAGCCCCCATGTAATGCCATCATGCCTTCCCTTCCGTGATGGACTGTAATATCCTCTTAAAATGGGCTCACAGTTGAGAGAGTGCCCTGAGTCTCAAAAGAGACTGTGGACATTAGAACAGTGTTAGGACAGTTGAAGATTATATGGGGACTTCAGAGGCTGGACTGAAGGCCTTTTGCACTAGGAGAGAGGCATGAACTTAGAGGAGCCAGCAGCAGAACACTGTGGTTTGGATGTAAAATGTCCTGTATAGGCTTGTGTGTCTGAACACCTGGTGTCCGACCGGAAGGCTGGAAGGTTGGGGAACCTTAGGAGGTAGAAGCTTCCTGTAGCAAGTGGGTTGCTGGGTGTGGGCTTTGTGACTTCATAGGCCAGCGTCACTTCCTGCCTCTTCTCTGCTTCGTGAATGTGGACACGATGTGACTAGCCAGCTTGCTCTTCTGCCACTGTGCCTTCCCATCACCATGCACCATATCCCCTCAAAGTGTAGGCCCCAAGCAAACCTGTCCTTCCCCTCAGGAGGAGAGGCGGGGGTGGAGTGACTAAGAACAGAGATCTTCAAGTATGTAGGAACCATAAGCCACAGATTCTAAATTCCAAGTTCATATTTCAGTCATCGGTTCTCTTGACCTTGTCACTTGCCTGGAATATGCACATGATCTGCTATCCCTAATCCACCATTCAGGGAAACTGTTGCCAGGGATTTCTGCGACTGGATATGCACGGTGCACGCACTACTTCTAGGCCACGCAAAAGCCTGGATATCAGAGAATGTTCCAGGCACTAAACACTTTCTGAGGGTTCGTCCTCCAGAAGAAGAGCACTTTTCTGAAACCACACACAGCTGGCATCCCACACAGTCCCAGTGTTTTAGGGATTCTAGACAGTTTTTATCTTCTTTTCCTCAGCTGTGTGCCCACCGGCTCCCCTTGAACTTGGCTAGTTCACTTGCTTGTCTGATGCCCCCCACTCTCCTCCCACACTCCCACCCTTCAAGCCCTTGGGCTAGCACTCTCTACATGCTAAGGCATCCACCCAGCCCTGTGGAGCTTCAGAAGGCAATCCTTCCACACAGGAGAGGCTCACACTTCCTGAAGTTCAAGGGCAGACAGAGACCACACCGCTGCTGCTCAGACTCTGGGAAAGTAGAGAGCCACGTGTCTCCGGGCAGAAATTGCACTTTGCAACTGTGATATCTCCCACTACCCCCCACCCTCCTACCCCTCCCCAGAGCAGAAGCTCCGACGTGCCCTTTGGTAAAGTAGCTGCGTGTGGATGTGCAGACGACGGCAATGAGGCCGGTCTCCAGATGCTGAGGTCTGCCTTGCTCTCCCTGTCCGACTGTCAACTCTGCAAATGACTGAATTACGTCCTTTCCTTTCCTTGCAGTTCCCCAGTGCCTGGGTCAGTGCCGCTCTGGGCCTCTGGAGTGTTCAGTAAAGAGGTAACGAAGTTCTCAGCACTCGGAAGCGGGCGACTGCTCATGCTCACTAACGAAGATGTTCCGTAAAAATAACATTTGGATTCGGTGTGTACGTGTGTATGGGACAGACAGACAGAGGTGACAGCCGTGGAAATCAAGGGGCCTGAGAAGGGGAAGAAGTAAGATGCAGCCGCATGAGGACAAACACACAGACCTACAAAAGACGCCAACACAGAAGGGCCCATGGAGTGCCTTCCTCCCCCAAACGGATCAACACATTCACCTGCTACAGCAGGGGTTTACAGCTTTGTGTTCTCAGAGGCTAAATCACATGATATGAACACGGGGACACGTGTGTCTTCCAGAATGTGTCCCCTGACAGCCAGACGAGTGTAACAGTGCTGAGCTCCCAAGGCACAGTCTTCAGACTGGTCCTCGGAACTCTGACGCCACTGCCATGACCTCGCCCTCCTCATGGAGCCTGACCTTGATGAGGGGGTCACCCACATGTTGGCTCTTCATCACCCCACTAGGGAGGAGCGGTGCCGTGTGGTAGACGGAGTCATGCACAAGAGTGTGTGTGTACAAGTCCTGCACAAGGTGCCACGGCCTCAGTCTGAAAGGGACCAACAATCTCTGCCTAGCTCCCTTGCCGAAACATGGCTCCACTGTAGCCAAGGATAGCGGTACTGCTGGGAGGCAGCAGCAAACGCCAAGAGCCGGACGGGCCTCCCTCCAGCATGTCTCTAGGGGGACAAAGGACTAGAAAGACAAATTCCTTCCCATGCAGCAATTAGTTTAATTTTTTTACACTTCAAACATGACTATGAAAGTATCAGACCGTCTTTCTGCTAGACTGTAAGGCCATCTGTACACCTTAATTAGACAAGACCGATGACTTCCAGTGACAGAGGCCCAGGCTGGAGTCCCAGCTCCGTCATGTGCTCGGACCAGTCACTGAGCTTTTAGAGGCCTGAGTTTGCTCATCAGCAAGATGGGGCTGAGAGCAGAAAAGAGATGTTTGGAGGACCAAAGGACAAGGTGGTGAGAACCTGACACAGCTCGGTCAGCTCTCCAAGTTAACTGGCTGCTGTTGACGGGAGGTGTTTCCAAACACAGATGAGAATATGCAGGCAGCCAAAGGGCACCTGAACAACCACACAGTGTCACCACGCATGAGCCTTAAAGCCTGGACACTTCATTCATCGTCATAATTTACTTAGGGTGACTTTATACCTAAATCTAAGAGTTATGGTAGACCCTTGACTAATACTAGGTTCTAGGCACTTCCTTAAAAATATTAAATCTGGCTGTTACACAGAGAAATCCTGTCTCAAAAAAAAAATTAAGTTTGTTATCACACCAAAGCCTTCTAGTTCCATGAAGTATGATCATTATCACTTTCAATTCTATTCGACTCTTTTCAGATTTTTATTATTTTAAATCATGTGTGTGTGCGCACTCACGTACACACGCACATGAGAGCAGATAGGTGGAGGCCAGAGGCAAAGGATTCCCCTGGAGCTGGAGTCACAGGTGGTTGTGAACCACTCAACATAAGTGTGGGAACCAAACTCAGGTCCTCTTCAAGAGTAGTGTGTGACCTTAACCACTGAGCCAATTCTCCAGTCCCATTTCATTATTTTTGAGATGTAGTTTTATGTAGCCAAGGTTGGCCTTGGCTCACTGTATAGCTAACGATGGCCTCAAACTCCTGAGTCTCTTGTTTCAATCTTCTGAGTGCTGGGATCCAGGCGTGTGCCACTATACCTGCTTTATGTGGTATTGGGGATTGAACCCAGGGTCCTCTGGGTTGTGCTGAGCAAGCAACTGGTCAGGCTGAATTTGGGGACAGCTGAAGTGATGTGCATGAGTGACAGGTCCACTGATAGTGGGAAGTGGGGATAAGTAAGAGGTATAGAGGTTGGAGAAAGCTTTCTACAGCACCGCTGTCCACATCCACTCGCTGCTGGGGTCAGGGCACGAATGATTTAAGAGCCCCCAAGAGCACACGGTACAGAGCATAGTTAGGTAGTTTTTACTATGCCATAAAGACAAATCGAATCATATGAAATGTGTGCTTCCGAAGACAGGAAGAAGGGGAAGGTGGGTGACATGTGAAGGGGTAGATTACCAGGGAATGCTGATCTATGCTGTTTCCTCAGCAACGGTATATAAACAATGCATGAAAGGAAGAATGAAAAAATGTCACTCCCTGCATGACTTGGTCATGAACCTCTGTATTCTGTTTTAACTCAGTGCTCTCATTTTTCCTTCCTTTCTTTTTTTTTTTTTTTAATAGACAGGATTTTGTTTTGTTGCTCAGTCCCAACCAATCCTCCTGCCTCTGCATGCTGAGTAGCTGAGCTGGGATTACAGGTGTGCACTACTGTGTCCGATCACTATTTGCTTGAGTTTCTGTGTGGTCCTGAGTATCAAGTAACCCTTTGGCTTACTCTGCCTGTGGGTTTAGACTCGTAGCCTTTATACTTTTGGCCTTTGTTGCTCTGGAAGGGCTTGTGAACTATTTCCTTGGCTACTTTAAAGAGATGGGCATTAAAAACAAAGATGCAAAAGTTATTTAAATGGTGGGAGGTTCGGGGGGAGGGGGTGCACTGAGTGGCCTTCTTGGTACAGGCAGCCATCGGCAGGGTTTCCAGATCCCTCCTTGGCCAGAGCTGAGGCTGGTAACAGAAACAGTCCATGTGTTCAGCAATGGGGCCCATTTCCAGCATAAGCTGCTCACAGCTCCCTATTTACAACCTTAGATCGCTGCCTCTTGAAGTCAGATTTTGTTTTATGTCTATCCATATCCTATTCTCTAGGCTCCATAAAAAGCTGCTCTCCAAGTCCCCAGATGAAGCTTTCTGACTCTGACTACTTGAAATGCAGTTAAGGCAAATTTGAAAAGAGCCTAAAACAGGCATTTCAAATTGATAAAATCATAACAATGATATCTTCAAACTACCTTTGATTTCTGGTTATGTGAACAGGGAAATCCTCCAGGAACTATGAAGGTGGGTCCTTTGGTGACAGCCCACACACATCATGGCCCATCGGCAGTACGTGGACAATGGGGAGGCGATAGCACTGGAAACAAGGGTGACCTTGTCTCTGGACACTAGGCTGGCCAGCTTTAGCAAACTGAGGTACAAAACAGCCAGTTCTATTTGGATTTCAAAACACACACACACACAAATACATACACACATGTATATATTCTAAGTTCCTACTGAATGCTCCTATTGAAAACTTATCTGTTGTAAGCAATTCAAATATACCAGGGCATCTCACTGTTAACACCTCGACCTCTGTACCTATAAAATTTGGGAGATAGAGATGTGTAGGGACTTTACAAATGAATGGCATGGAGTGGCCATCCCAACCTCCCACCTCTTCCTCAACTCTTCTCTAGGGAGGCTCCATGGCTCTGGCCGGCCCCTCTCCGTGTCTGTCTTCTCTTCAGAAATAAAAGCCTTCTCTCACCGCTCCACGAACTTTCTGCCAACCTCCACTCCCAGCAGCACTCTCCCAACCCCACTCCTCCTGAGGGCTGTGGCAGGGAAGCAGGCAACTTTGTGGCTGTAAACTTGGGGGCACCGGTTTGCTTCGACCTGCTATTGTTTGGGGGGGGGTTTGGTTTGGGGCAGGTTTGGAGGGGGCTCTGGAATGGAAGTTTTCTAACCCCGTCATTTTCTCCCAGAGACTCCTCTCCCACCCATCTACTCAGATGTTAAGAAACACATCAGGAGAGACTTGGAGCCCTGAGACAAACCAGGGCTGAAGCTGGATGTCAGACTTCAGTGGCAGAGGGTGGTAGGGACCCCAGGACACTGCCCAGACTCTGGACATGGGAGCCCTGCCTCCCCACACCTACAACACAGACCTCTGATTAGTGGTCTTTAGCAACAACACCTTATTAACCACACAGAGGTCATAAAAACAGGGAAGAGATGGCTCTTGCTTTCAGACTTCCAAGAGTGTCTTATAGCCAAACATTTATGGCTCAGCTATCAATGCACGAGAAAATGAGAGGAACAATGCCACAACAATAAACGATGGGTGAGACAGAGATGGATGGTGCCACCGTGCCATCTGTTATCATTTGGTGCAGAGAAAATTAATTTTGAAGGCATTTCATTTAACTTTGCAATATTTTGCAGCCTGACATCTGATTATTTCAACTTCTTCTATTTGCCTTCTTCCCCTTAAATCTAAGAACGTGGTGGGCGAGTCGGTGGGGGTGGGGGGCAGAGGGCAAGTCTGATGTGAGTATAGCTCCATGGCAGGTGGATGATCTGGACCTAGGCAAGCAAAAGTCACTACTGGCCACAATGAGACGCCTCCCAACTAAACATCCGCTTCCAAAAGACTTATATGTGTTACCTTCCAGAGCAAGGCACCGGGGTGGGCTGGACGACCAGATAAGGTTGTGTAAGCATTCGAGATACTCAGAACCCTCGAGTTTAAATCCAGGGAAGCAGCGATAGGCGATCACAGTTCCCACGGGGAAGGAGGTCTGGAACTCCGAGATGTTCACGTAGCCATTGGAAGAGGCTAGAGGTCTCAGGCAGCCTGTGAAACGTGAAGGGAAAATGGAAAGGTTTCACTAGGCTGCCTCTGCATACATGCACACAGCGAATGGCACAGAGGAACTCTTTGGGATTGTCCCTTGGCAAGAAGAGGGCATTGCAGACTTGAAATGGCACCACAAGGGTCAGATAGAGGGTTAGGAGGAAGAAGGGAGGCAAGAGGCGTATGGTTTAGCACACCCCTAGCCAGGTGAATCTGTCCCAAATGGAAGAGCTTGAGGGGCTTTTATAAACCAGTGGTGCCCAGGCTCCATGTGCAGGAGGAGAGCCTGCGGGTCACTCCGTGTTTATGAAGCTCCCCATGTCATTTAAGGTGACCTCAGGGATGAGGGCCACTGAGGCACCCTAGGAGGAAACAGACATTACAATGGCTAGGGGTTTGTGACTCGGGCGGGCGATGTTCCAAACTCAGTCAGAGGACAGGATCCTGCTTGGGCTGGTACTACTGGATTTCTGGATATCTGGTTTTACGTGAAATAGGCCAAGAGTCTTAAAGTGTGCTGGTTTTCAAGCTTGAGAATTCCCCAGAGGGATGGAGAGACACTGACCCCAGGTCAAATGTCTCAGCAGGCCTCAGTGGAACCCAAGCATATGCATTGCTAATGGCCCGGTGGGAGGGGCCTCTGAGAAGCACAGCCTTCCAATGGCTCCCACAGAACAAGTCCTGTGCCATCAGAGAACAAATGGGGAACTGGACTACTACTTCTAAACCACCGGCTACCTTTGGGTGAATCTAGTGAGGTCACTGGAGAGCACAATGACATCACAGGGCGACATTCTTCCGGGGGCAAGCATGTGTGTGAAGCAAACGACGTGTAATGAAAATACCCGCTTTCCCGGACGGCTGTCGGGCACAGGGTTTGTATTCTGCACAACGGCAGATGACCAAGCGCTCCTCCAGAGGTGGCTTTCGTTCCTCCCCACCCCCCCACCGGAGCTGAGGACCGAACCCAGGGCCTTGCACTTGCACTTGCTACCACTGAGCTAAATCCCCAACCAGAGGTGGCTTTCTCAGACACTGTCTCCAGGGGCTCTCTCAGCCAGCTGCTGCAGTGCCTGTGCACCAGAGTGAGGAAAGGCCTGAGGCACCAGGGGTGCAGAGCTTAGGGACAAACACAGTCACTCACACTTGCAATTGTTTGGTTCCTACCTTACTACTGTGCCTTGGGCCGCCAAGGTCCACAACTGGAGCAGGCCCTGACTCAGAACCACTCAGGATGTTTCTAGACCCTCCCCACCCCTGCAACCCTCAAAGCAGGAGAACTCAGCACCTTTTTACTCCATCTCATGGTTTTCTCAATCCCTGCTACGTGTGTGTGTGTGTGTGTGTGTGTGTGTGTGTGTGTGTGTGTATGTGTATGTGTATGTGTATGTATATGTGTAGTGTTTGTGTGTATGTATATGTGTATGTGTGTGTATGCATGTATGTGTATGTGTATATGTGTAGTGTTTGTGTGTATGTATATGTGTATGTGTGTGTATGCATGTATGTGTATGTGTATGTATATGTGTATGTGTTTGTGTGTGTTTGTGTGTGTATGTATGTGTGTTTGTGTATGTGTGTATATGTATATATATGTGTGTATGTATATGTGTGTGTGTGTGTATGTGTTTGTGTGTGTGTGTGAGACAGTATGTACATGTGTGGAGACTGAAGACTGATGTTGGGTGTCTTCTTCTATTGTTCTCTCTCCTTTTTTGAGACAGAATCTCTCACTGTCCCAGAAGGTCACTGTCTCGGCTAGGCTGGCTGACCTAGAGATCTCCCTGTCTCTGTGCCCCCAGTGCTGGGACACAGACGCTTGTCGCCGTGCCAAGCCCAGCTTCTGTGGTCCTGGAGATCCCAACTCAGGTTCTCATGCTTGCAGGTACTTTGTCAACTGAGTCATCTCCTGCGTTCCCTCCCTTGGTTGGTTTTTAATTTTCCTGAGCTAAAAACTGGTAATGTTTGCAGCAGATGTGGTGTGAAGAGTTGGGGGGAGGAGTGGAAATCAGGAAAAATGGAATCAGTAATTGAGAAACAGCAGACAAATCCATTAGCAGGCACAGAAGGAAGGCATGGGATGCTTACACAGTTCAGGTGGCTGACAGGATGCCGGCCCAGCACTCACTGCGGAGATGGGGCTCCAGCTCTCAGCTGCTTCTCAGGAGATGCCTGGTCTTTCCCAAATCACAACTGCTTCTGCCCCACAGCGGGCAGGGCAGGCAGATACTCTCCAAAACCTAAAGTAGCTGCCAACAAATGGCCTCTGAGCAGCCTGCCCTCCACTCCTCCTGAGGAGATGGCAGGAGCTATAATTTGAGCGGCTAATCAGCGCTGAGAGGGAAAGATATGCTCACTCTTGGTTGGAGACAGCCCATCCTAAATCTAACAGTGGGAAACAGGCTTCCACTCAATAGTTCAGTGGGATTCCCATTTGCACTTCTAGATAATAGAGACATGCCCACTGGAGCTTTAGCCCGTGGATCTATAGGTGCAAATAAAAGTTCTAGAATGAAATGTCACTCTTAAGAGCCAATTACAATCCACCAGGGGGCTCGGAGAGGTGCCAGGCTGTCTGCAGCAACTCAAGAATCCTGCTCTCCTGCGTTGTGCCAGCCAGGCGGCCAGAGGAAGGCTGCTGCAGC